AAACGTAAGAACTTACAGAAATATATAAGATGATAAAATATGCTAAAACAGACCCATTAAACAATAGCCACAACTTATCAAAATAATGACGTTTGCGGCAAAGTCTCCTAAAATCGACACCAAAGTAAAGGAAATGTGTCTCATCGACGAATGAGAAAGGGACACGCTAAACCCAAGTACAAAAGTGCAATGGGGGCGGGGCGCTGTGGCCTCAGAATATTGGTGTAATATGTATTTGTGTACGTATGTGTATATGCATGAAGTTGTGTAGGTATGTGAGTGTTCAGTGTATGTCTGCATGATTGCATGTATGTATGCGAGTAAGAAAGGGAAGAAGGATGTAAGCAATGTATGTATGTATACGTGTATACGTATATATGTATATATGTAAATAGCTGAACAACAACTATCAAAATTGTATAATTATATTTAGGACTGCTGTAGATTTTATACGATAAGTTGAATATGAATGTTCACACAGGTGTTACCAGTAATGATGGTGCGTTCGGAACTGCTCGTCTATCTCGTTCAGACCAGTTGGACGAGATTTTTTGACCGTTCGGAACCTCCACTATCTCGTCCCGGACAAGTAGTCCAGCTCGTCCAACTCGCCCTCCTGCAAAGGTGGGCGAGCAGGACGAGATAACGTCACAATAGATTTTGTATGTAAACATTGACAGTTGCAGGTAACCACAAGATATTGGTGGGTAATTTTATGACCCTTTATTGGTGTTATCAAAGGATATTTTTGTGTTTGTCAGTTGCAGGCAAGTTAAATGTGCATCAAAGGAGTTACAAAACCTATGCAGCGTGTAAATTAAAGACACCGGTATGATAAAAAAAAAAAAAAAGAATGTTTACATTCGAGCCGGTTGCATTCTGGGCAGAAAGGGTCTTGGAGGTTCCGAACGCGGCCCACTTGTCCTGCTGGTGCTGGACAAGATGTCTGGACGAGCAAGACGAGCAGTTCCGAACGCAGCATGAGTATGTGAAACGTGCAAATATTGCCTCTGTTTCCCGATTATGCAAATGTGGGTCGATATGTGAGAAGTTGAGGTTTGATTGATATGCATATATACATACATATTATATATTATATATATATATATATATATATAATATATATTATATATATATATATATATATATATATATATATATATAATATATATATATATATTATATATATCTTTCTGGTCTCTGTCTTTCGCTTCCCTCTTCTTTCATTCTCGCTCTCACTCTTTTCTCTCTACATATTTTTTTCATTAAATTACATACATATGTGTGTGTGTGTGTGTGTGTGTGTGTGTGTGTGTTGTGTGGTGTGTGTGTGTGTGTGTGTGTGTGTGTGTGTGTGTGTGTGTCAGAGATATAGAAGACGGACAGACAGGGACAGAGTTACGTGTGTGGTAACAATACTATACAAATACATTCATATCTACAGATATACATACATAGACATACATGCATACATACACCACACACACATGTATGCGTGTAATATACAATAATAGATGCAGCTGTATATGTAAATATGCATTTGCTGGAAATGCCGGTGAATGAAATGATCAAATAATATAATAATTCATCCCTGAATGGATGTTTTACAATGACCAATATACAAAGCAACTCAAAAATGAATTCCTCGTGACAATAATTTTGTTGTTGTTGTTATTTGTCATTTGTTCCTTAAAAGTAACCCGATCGTTTGTGATTTGTCCAGTTGTATATATATTGTTCGTAATTAGCAGTATTTTCGAACAGGCGTTGTGTTCGCCGTGCTTTCTCACTTGCAAAAATTTGCTTATATTTCCGATGAATTTTAGCTTCTCCTCTCAATACGGAAAAATATTCCATTTAAACTAACGCTTCCCCTAGCTACGGAACTACTGCCTCTGTGTGCAATAACGAGAGTAAATTACATATCCATATCTGTTACACCATCAAAAAGAAATTCCTTATTGACTCTGGGTCAGGTAATAAATTCACTTATCTATTGACTTTTTTTTCTGTCGTATCAACATCTATGGGCGTATTCAAAAATATAGCAAATAGGAAGAGGCTTAGGACGGAGCTCCCGGGTAAGGAAAGGTCATACAGCACTATGATAATTGTGAATAAAAGAGCAAAATAAGTGAATGAGTAGGAAAAAGCATGTCGAAATCTGTAGGGGATGTTCTCATCGATCTCCCAAACAGTATAACATCTGTTCATATCTAACCTGAAATCATAGGATATGCGCTTCGTTATCTCCCATCCTCGTTCGCCAAAGTAGGGATCACGAAGTCTTGGATAAACCTGTTTCTTGTAGTGTTTTTAGAGAGTCTCTTCTATGTCTGCTCTTTATTGTTGCTAAGCCTAAAGGGGTTGCATGCATCGACGCTAGGGCATACATTAGACCGGTCATCGAAGACTGTAGAGCGCTGTAGGTTAGTATGCAAACGGGTAAAGCCAAGGTCTTAACAAGGCAATCAGTTTCGCTTGTCTTTCCTTTAGGCGAAGAAATGTGGACAGAAGGGGATAAAAAAAGAAGGAAAAGGAATAGGAGAGAAGGGGCCTCAGTCTCCGTCTCCTAAGCCCCCCCCCCTCCCCACGACAACGAGCAAGGGATCGGGGGTGTTAATAAAAAAAAAAAAAACTAATGATTTTCATGAAACTAGATAGTATTGTGTCTGAAGTTATTCTGAAAATATTGCAAAGACTTTGGAAATTTCTTCTGGAAATATGTTAGAATTATGTATTGCGCAATGTTATTCAGTCAGTATCTGCTTTTCTTACTGTATTACCCGACTGCGAAAAGAATGGCGATATGTTAATGAACAGAAAATTTGAGAAAACTCGTGCAGTATCATCTATGCTTCAACCAGACCAGATAACATACACTAATAGATATAATTAAATACGATACATTTAATTAAAACTTTATCCGATTTTTTCGGTTTTAATTATCGTTTGAACTTTCTATTTGACGCATTTTCTTTACTTATATTAACAATATATTTATAGAAAGAAGGATTTAAGCATACAAATTTCTATGGAGCGAGATGTAACTGGCACACTTTGATGTTATATCTTTAGCAGAATGACATTCTCCATTGTGAGATCTGTTCTTCCACACATTTTCTACTCTTGGTACCATGTTCTACCCATTAGTTAATATTGTAAACGATTTAGATGGAGTAAAAGTTGACACATCCAGACAGCACTTTGCCAGTCGAATAAATAAAATATACGAGACAAGTGCCGAGTTGGTTAGGCCACTTTAAGGATGAGAGGCCGTGTTGACCTCTCATTCGAGGGGTCAGCGGTTCGCGCCCCGCCCAGGCGCGAGAAGTTGCAATTGTCGCCTGGTTACCACTGAGACTGGGCACCACGTTGGGCAAGGAATAAGCTCTGTTGCATCAGCACTTGACACGTTTATCGAGTCGGTATTAGTCGGCACAGGCCGGGCTCCCCTCTTAGCCCGGGCGAGACTGAGCTCCGCATATCGGACTTTCTCTCATGGTTGCTTGCCCAATATCGCCAAACAATTTTTGTGCATTACTTTCGCTATTGTCATTACATGCAGATGTATCACAATCTTTATACATTTATTTTTAGGTATATTAGGTCATTAGCGGTATATTCAAAATATAGCGATATGGTAAGGGTTCAGCACTATGATAAAATATTGTGGCAACATGGGTATAAACGAGTTAATGATTAAGAGAAAATATGTAGCTATCAAAGACTGTAGAATGCCGTAAGATAGAATGGCAACGAAAAGGGTAAAAGGGAAGAGCAAACGAGTACGGTCATTCAGGACTAACAAAGCCAGCCTTTCGTTCTTTCAGCACGGCTCTCACACCTTAGGAAGTGAAAATGGTTAATGGTTAAAATAAATGTGCTAGGCATCTAAGGTCATATAGCACTATAGGAAGGTATAGTAAAGGGGGATGTCAGGTGATAGTTGCTATGTGTAGGAAATTAAAAGAACAAGGGGGTGAAGAAGAGAAGGAAAATGAAAGGGGATGAAGAAAAGACCTTGCAAAATTAGTGGAAGCAAGGGCCAAGACCCAGGGTATGAGTGATCCCCTACCCTGGGCCTCGGTCTCCGTCTCCTAAGCCCCACTACGAGAAAAGGGATTAGGATCCTAAAGGGGTAGTGTTAGTAAAAAAAAAAAAAAAAAAAAAAAAGTAAAGAACCCTTGGTTTAGAGCAGTGTTGTTTATACATTTTCGACTATTGTACCCTTTATTACCTTCTTGCACTGTTACGTACACCCCCCCCCCGGCCACCATGGCTAAACTTTTATTTCGGATAATGCAAATAATATACTAATTATGAAAAGCCTATTGCAGGAGTGTTGCTCAATAAGTTCGAATTTAATACACGAATAAAATGATTCATAGAAAGTGTGATGTATCTGTGCGAGTGCGAGTGTGTTCCTTGTTTGTTCACGTCCCCTTGTGATCTATGTTGCGGGCCCCAGTTTGGACAACACTGGTTTAGAGTATAGTTCATTATTATCTGAGATTTGACTTCGAATTTTTGCCAGCACGTCTAGCCTTTGTGCAATATCAAAGTAGTAGTTAATTATAATTGTGCGACTCCTTTGGTAAAACATTCTGGATTTTTAAACTACAGATGAGGAAAGATGTTCAACCATTTTTTGCAAATATAAGGGATAATTGAAATAACCAAATCTTACTGAATAGTGTATTTAACAAAGGTTACTAAATTACTAAACTTTTACACCTATGATAATGAAAAGACACCTCTGACTTCATAAACAAAGCGGACAACTTGTTTAAACATGTTCTCCAGCCGAGGTTCGATATTGTCACAATTCACAGGCTACCAGATTCAAGTTAATCACTGCACTAACAACCAGTTTCGCAATTTTTAAACCAGAGGGCGACTGACGAGGCAAGAATTACCATTTTCGGTAAATCCTACACGCTTAATTAAAACAGTAAGAATCGTCATTCCCCATAAACCTTTCCAAGGCAATTTTCCAAGGCAATTAACACAGTAAGAATCCTCATTCCTCATAAATCTTTCTTTCCAAGGCAATTAACACAATTCTCATTCCTCATAAATCTTTCCAATTAACCAGTAAAAATCCTCATTTTTCCAAAATAATAACATAAGAATCCTCAATTCCTCATAAATCTGTTAACACCCTAAGAATGGCAATTTTGATCAACCCTTCTACAGGTTTCAGTTAAAGACGCTGCTCACACGCCACAGGCTTGAGGTGGAAGCAGGCGATGTCGTGCCAAGTGATCCCGTCGTTGAAGTAAAAGCGATTGAGGATTCCGAGGCAGTTCTCGTCTCCGAATCTGTTGTCTGGTTGCGCGATTCCAAATCTGAAGAAGGAGGAGGAGGAGGGTGTCAATAATGGGTGGAGGAAGGAGGAAGAAAGAGGAGTAGGTTGTCAGTATGGGGGTGGGGGGAGAGGTTGTCAATAATGGGTGGAGAAGGCAGAGGAGGAGGAGGTTGTCAATAATGGGTGGAGGAGGAGGAGGAGGAGGTTGTCAGTAATGGGTGGAGATGAAACTGCTGCCGATAAAAAAATGGTGGAGAAAGACAGTGGCCGTTAGAGAAGGTGAGGAGAAAGGTGATAAATAATGGTGGAAGAGGGGAGAGGGCAGAGATGGCAATAACAAAATGGTAGAGACGGGGTGAGAAAGGTGAAGGTAATAGTGAAGAGGAGAAACATGATGAAGATAATGGTGGATAGAAGAGATGAGAGGAGGTAGGTGATAAAATAAGAAAGAGAAAGAAAGAGGAGAGGAGAATGATAATGAATATAATGGTGAAAAGAAAGGAGATGGATTTTGAAAATAAAAGTGGAGAAAAGAGGAGAGGTGAATAATTAAGGAAATAATAATGGAAAAGAGGAGAATAATAAAATGATAGAAAAAAGGTGAAACATGATGAAAAAAACGGTAGAAGAGAAGCGAAAGGCAATGGTAAATTTATCTATTTAAAAAAAATCTGCCGCATGAACATCTAAGGTCAATAGAGACGTATTCAAAATGTAGCTATAGGGTGGTGCATGGGAGCCAAGCCCTAAGTTAGGCTTTTTTTGGTTCATAATGCGGTGTTTGTGGATTCCAAGAATGGTTAATGGTCAAAATAAATAAATACTAGAAATACTAGCCACCAAAGGTCTTATAGCAATATGAGAAACAGCTGTGGAGAAAAGTGTAAAATGAGTAACTGATTAGGACTAAATATGTTAGATGGTAAAGGTTGTCGAGCGCTGCAGGTTAGTACTGTAGTGCAGAACACACGGAGTATGAAGGCCAGTCAGGAATGACACAAAGTCCGCCTTTCATCCTTTCAGCGCGGCTTTCGCACCTTAGGAAGTGGACAGAAGAGGAGGTCAGAGAAGAGGAAAAGGGAAGAAAAGACCATGCAAAAATTGTTGAAGCAAGGCCTGGGGTGATCTATCTTGGGCCTCAGCTCCTAAGCACCACGGCAAGAAGCAGCAAGGGGGGGGGGGGGGTGGCAACGGTAAAGAATGAGATGTTTAGGTTCATGGAGAGTTCTACTTTTCTTTTTCCTTTTTACAATTCAATAATACGCCTCATGATTGAAGAAAGTAATCTGAAACGTAGTTTTGGCCGCCGAGCCTAATTTAAATCTTAGGAAAAACGCGGGAAGTCTTCGTGACGTCATAGTAGGTGATTATCGTATTTTACGCGGAATCGACATTTTTTCAGATCTGCTTAATGCGAATCTTGTTTCACGATGTCAGAAGTAATAGATTCTAATACTCTTTTATGGTAGCTGGAATTCAATTAGTTTGAGCCATAATATTTAGATCACAGGGTCCCAAGCTGGGCGCCAAGCGATATTTTCTGTGGAGCCATGGAGCAATATGAAAATTATGACCGAATTAAATTGGACTTGGTCACACCTACATTACAGGTAATAATTACCTTTCACATGTCAATGAAGTGGAATCCTTCCGTACAGTGTTCTTATCTTACAACTATTGGCATCATTACACTATTCATAACTAGTAGGCCTAAGAGCAATATCAAGATGTGCGAACATGAAACGGGGCCTTGGGAGTTATGTATTGGTCGGGGCTACAGAATGGAAAAGGATGAATAACACTGATTTAGATAATTCAACAATGGACACGGAAGCTAATAATTCTTACACTACAGACATACTTGAAAGAGGTAATGGATACATAAATGAATGGGAGAAGGAAAGAAGTGAAGAAGAAAAATAAATGAAATACATGGCAAAGTGAATAAATAAATGAAAAAGTTAGAATTAGAGACGGCGAAATAGTGTATGAAAACGATGTCGAGAGTTGTATAAGAAGAGACAGACAGGCCCAAAGCGTGTTTGTGACGTCATCGTGGTTTCCCGCCTTTTTCCCTAACCTAATATATTGCGTCGAGGCGATACTTTTCGGGTGAATGTCTTTGAAAACTACTCATTAATTTCTATTTCTGATTAAAATGTGTAATTATAGAGACATTTTCCATAAAGATGTGAACCGTTTCTCTACTCTGGTCATCAATTTTGATATAGAAAAATATGAATGAAGAACGACGATGGACGAATACGAATGATAAAACTTGTATATAATGCTAAATAAAAAAAAAGAAAGCTACGGAAAAGAAAAATCATTTGAATTCAAGATGACAAGTATACATGCTAGAAGAAAAACGGGAAAAAACATAGCATTCAACTGAACAATTGCAAAATAGTATAACGCAAATATGAACCTAACTCTGACAAAATCCTAATGAATGTTTAAAAAATCAACTATAATCCCACGATTTTAAAACAACCTAAAATTACCTAACCCAGCAAAATTCAACTCCAAAGGCACAATATGTTCGATCCTCACCCTCCAGTATGACTCCAGTTGAGTCCCTGGAAGGCCCCCGCTCCAGGCCCGTTCCACCGCCAGCCGTTGCCCACTTTCGTTCCGCTCGTCCAGATGTATGCCACGTCGTCTGAGGGGAGTGGGAGTGTCATACTCTAACGTGCATCAGCGTAAAAGTATGAATCGATATACATTCACCAATATGCAGGTCACAACATGGCCGTCTTAACAGTATTTTAGGTTCCCGGACAATGCAGTGCACTAAAGTACTTGTGTGCAATACATATTAGGAACTCACACACCAGTAAATTTGTCACATACCACACTAACACTAACTCTTACAAGCACTCTTTCTTTCCACGTACCATACGCGACTGGAACAGGCTCCCACAACACATAATCGAAGCTGAAACACTTAACACTTTCACAAACAAACTAAATAAACACTTAATACAAAAGCCTTCACAAACACCAACACTTCCGCTTGCACCTTGATCCTTCCCCCTTCCCCCAGCAACCAATCGCTACTAATATGCGTGTTTTGCGCTCACTTAGCGCCCTACGCCTAAAACTGAGATTGAGATTGAGATTGAGGAAGGTATGCTTGTGGGGCCCCAGGCACCTGTCTAGCGTGCCCATGTGTTAAGGCCCAGGACATGAATATGGAAGTATGCACCGATGTATATGCCTGCATCAGTATATGGAGTATAATAATATACAGGCGTGCATTAATATGTAAATATGCATAGATATATGAGCAGAGTGTATATAAAGCTTATAGTATAGCTATATGCAGGTTTAAATACGCATCAGGTATACATTCATATTCAATCAAATAGTAACCAGTAGAACAGTGAAATTTTGTTTTGGATTTTGATAGTCCACAAAACATTATTTCATTTAAGAGTCCCGTGGCTTATATAATACATTTTCATAACCAAGAAGGACATTCCTGTAACCGAGTAAGTTCAAATTATTCACGCCCATTCCCTCAAAAAATTCCTGTTGGTATCCTTACACCATGGTACTGCAATTATAATGAAGGAAACGGTAGCTAACCTGAATCAATAATGCCATTGATGTAGTCGCTCTCCCCCTGGGTCTCTATGCTGATTGCGGTCCATCGGTCTCCCAGATTTGTGCAGTAGTTCACGGCATCCCCGTGGCTGAATTTTCCGTTGCGGTCTCGGCGCCAAGAGAAGTGGTAGTTGCTGCCTGATGTCGTGTCGTGAATCTGCCGGAATTTAAACTTTTATCGACTTGAATCATGTTGGATACGTTATTATATATGATTTGAATGATTATGAACTTGTAACTGATGTAAATGTACTGGCTATTATCTTAAAAAATAGCAACTGACGTTTTGTTTCAATCCCGTGCAAAATTCCGAAGTCACAGCAGACGTTATTTGATCTCATTCACACATTTTCAATATGTACTAAATATTCATGTATATTTAAGGACATTTGCCAAAGAGGAAACAGCTTCACCCCCCCCCCTTATATGTAATAATCGGTAAAGAACGTCAGAAATGAAGAGAAGTCTAGACAAATGCCGCGATCGGGAGGGAGTCGGGAGCTAACCCCCCCCCCCCCACCAGGTTAAGAAGAATTTTGTTTCATTAGTTCTTGCATACAAGAGTAGCCTCAAGATTGTTACTTGGAGCAAAGATCCGTCTTAGGAGGGTATCGCCACTTCGCAAACAATTACCGACATACCCACTGAAATACCAACGAAAGCTATAATAAATCTTGCCTCATACCTTACCCTTCTCGCAATACACAAGTATTTCCTAACTTTCCACTGTAAATTACATGAGACAATGAGTTAATTTGCTTACAACCGATGTTCCTTGAGACTGCTGCTGCCTCTGTTGGTCTCCCTGGTTGCCTCTCGAGTTCACGATGATCGGGGGGCCGCTATTTACGTTCTGACTTGGCCGTATTATGTTCGACTGAGTTGGTTGCACATTGGCGTTGTTATTACTCTGTTGCTGGTTGTTTACTCTGTTGTTGTTCCTGTCGAGGTTACTGCTGCTGGATTGACCGGCAAGGAACACACGCCTATCTGAATTCTGGTTCCCGAGCAAAGTCACCCTCACGGCTCCATTGCAGAGATGAACAACGCACACCAACAGCAGCGTAACCACGATCTATGGGGTGAAATTTGAACATCAATCATTGCACTTACTGTACTTGCTTTCCATCTCGACAGTGGCAATACCTCACATATTTTACATACTCTTAAAAACCAATAAAACTTTCGTAAGACCGTAGCTTGGATTTTATTTTACACTACCTTGGCCATCCTTAGTGCTCCGTGCCTGTCGAACCGATAACACCACGCTACACCACTTTCTTCACCGAGCCAACGCAAAGCCCATTTTCTCAAAGACTGGAAAGTCAGTG